CGAGCAGCGCTAAAAGTTTTCACCTGTTTTCTTTTTAATTTTATCATCTATTATAGCCTAACTGAAGATCAAAAATGAATTCAAAACGGATAGAAACGGATACCAGAACATCCCGATGATTTGTCACAAGAAAAAAACGGACTTAGTAGGGGTGGGTGCTTACCAAAATGCCACGATATGTGAAACGAGCCTCTCCGACCGCCGGTTTTCATTGGAAATCTTGAATTTTTGAAGGGATATCGTTTCATCGTGAAAAGAAGATTAGTCAAGATGCTGTATTAGGTATTAGGCAAAGATTTTTTGAAAGTCTTTTGACGTGACAAGTGATTCTGACTGAACCAGGAGCGATTTTGCGAGATTTTTTCGAGCTTGGCCAGCGGACTACTGTGCAACCTTTACTAAATTTAAGTAACTTACGGAGGTACGTTACAAAATACCAAAAAAACTCGCTAAATAGTCGTCCAAATGACCTGAAACTTCACACGAAGAGCAAGGACAATAAAAGAGACAACGTAGGATGTTTTTTTAATTCTTTTTTTACATTTTCATCAAATTCAGCTAAAAGCTGCCAAGTGTAGAGCTTGGGCTACCTGTGTTTTTGATTGACTTTTTGTGACATTTTTCGCACTCGGGCATCGTTTTGTATTACTTTTCCCCTTTTTATAAAACTATTTAGATCCTAAAATACCTTTACTACAATTCTATGTATAGTCTAAGGGCTTTTTAATTGTATTAGAACAGATTTCTTATGAAAATGAGAACAATTCTCGCCACAAAAATTACATTTTTGCAGACATTTCTTCGCACTCCTTTTGTCTGCATCTTTTTCATCTTTGTCTGAACTTTTCCCTTGTTTTCGTAAAGCATATTGCTCTTGAAATACTTTTGCTACATTGATCATACAGTAAAGTACGTTGTCTATCAAATTACTTAACCTTTCTATTTGACTGTAAAAAAGCTACTTTAGACAATTTTTTTCGCACGCTGTTTTACATTTTTCTTCGTCTTTGTCTGAACTTTTCCCTTGTTTTCGCAGACCATATTGCTCTTGAAATACTTTTGCTACATTGATCATATAGTAAAGTATGTTTTCTATAGAATTCAAAAATGGTTGTTCAGCAAAAGGTGTAAAATTCTCGTAAATGCGAACTTCAATTCGTTCGCCTCCATCGACTACATAATTTTTCTTTCTTGTCCGGTCTTGAAGTAGATCAACAAGGACCAATCAGGTGCCGTGTAATATGTGCGCGCGTTGTGATTGGTTGTCTAAAAATAGATTATCGGGACATCTGATGGTGGCGATAGAGCGGAGAGTGGGACACCGTTACCGCACGGTTACCGCACAGTTACCGGACCTGGCCTTCACAATTTTGGTGAAACAATGGGGCACTAGAATTTGGTTACAGTACGATTACGGTCACAGTACAGTACCGTCCGTTTCCCACTCATACGAAATCCGCTCTATCAATGGGGAGATAGACACTTCTGGTTATGTACTTCTGAACTGACTTTATTTAGAACTTGGCAACGAAATGAAAAGTTAAGAAAATGCGCGCAATGTGTGCTCATTCCCTTATCAATCTATTTGCTATTCCAAGAGGAAGCCATGAGAGGATGAAGCGTATGTGATCATGACGTCACTGATATGCACCTAAAATAATACGCAGGTCATAGAATAATAAAGCGTCAACAAGTGTCAATACCACAAACTACGATGGTACATGGAAATGTAGAAACTAAAGAAGGAATCGTTGTTGTCAACAAACATACAAGTAAGTAACAATCTGAGTATYATAGAGTACGTTCACTTTATGTAGAAATGGTTTGCTAATTAAAATAAAGGAAAATTTCTGACAAAGCACTTTGTTGCATGACGCGATTGCTGAATAATTCAGTAATGCAATTTCTATCTATTGATGGATATGTCATATCGGATATAATAAATACAGTACACTCTTAAATCTTGCCAGTTTTTGTCTAAGGCGACCTAGGGTATTGTACAATCTCATACCCAAATCCTTCTCTCAGTTTCCCAATGGAAAATCGAATCGTTCTTGCTGGAACATACCGGAAGACCCAGAATATGAGTCATACAATATATGAATACTGATGCCGCATGGGAATTTTTGAAGGAACCAAATCATAAAGACTCATACGTCTCCGACCGGAGCCTTCGATTTGCCATTGGGAAACTGAGAAGGATCTGGGTACGAGAATGGGGTATTAGAGAACTCACAATCATTGAGCCTGCAGTGATAGATACCTTTTATCCACACCTAATTATTCACAGATATTGATCTGCTGTCATTGCAAGCTCAACTATTGTACCACTTTGACACAAAGGCTTGGCTAATTTCAAGTTGGCGTATTGGAAGTGTAAAACTGACAATTCTAAAACCTCTTTCCAGTCAAGTCTGACCAACACTTTTCCCCATACTTTCATCTCATATAAATGCTTTTTTTACCAGCAAATAAAGATAAGAAGTTCAAAGTCTTTCATGTACCAGTTATGCAAAACAGCCAAGGAGTCCCATTTGAAATCACAGCCAAGGAAGATGGCGAATCGTATTTAACTGGACCTGCAATGCGTATACTAGACAAGAACAATAAATACGACGAGAATCATCCGTTTATCTTTTTCCCACTGTTAAATGCCTACCATTCACAAGGATAAATTGATGGGAAGGCCGATGTTGCAAACGACTCGAGGTTGTTTCTGTTGTTTCAATCCCAAGCCTTTCCAACCTTATCTTGCAACCACGAACTCAATTCACATTACATACTTTCATGTATACTTTAGCTATAGTGTCATTCCCATCCTACTCTCTTCCCGGCATGACATCACATGTCAAGTGCGTTCTATCACTGGAAAAAATCCGATTTTTTGATGTAAATGATTATTTTCATTAAATTTACAGAATTTTGGACACTTACATCATACTTACATCAAATTTACAACCTTTAATGCGCGCGATTTTTTCCAGTGTATATGGACAGTTTGGATTGTATTGTTATGTCGAGTAGAGCGTTTTTGCAATGAAAATACCTAAAAACCAATTTGATACAATTTTGTTTATCTTCCGAGATAAACATATGTCGCCATTTTGAAAAGCAAAACAGAAGAGCTGGCAAAGCGTATTGAYTATGGCTTTATGGGACAAGTCTAAAAAAGACACTTTATTTTTTAGTGTTGAGCCGTAAAATATATAAGTATGAAATCAATTACATTGACAATTGTTTGCATGTAGTATTCACACACTCACTAAGTCACTCTACAATTTTTTTACTAATAAAGCAAAAAGAGACTGTAATTTATGCAAGAAAGTAGAGAAAAAACCTTTTCGAATTAAACTGCTGCTCTATTATTATTATAKGAGRAGCCGATGGGTTCCTGGGAGAAATATATCTCTGTTCATGTCCMAGCCAGTTGTAAGTAACAACTGGCTGGCAGCGAGAAACTTCAGGAAAAAACTCTCCAGGCAAAGAATACTTTCTAAGAAWTTTTGCCACTATTTTTTCCTCCATGCCTGATTCCATAGACGCCTCCATGACSTCAAGATGCCWTTWCTCAACAATGCGGCCATGGTGATTTRTATGTTCCCTGACGAATCGTTCTTTATAGAAATATTTGTTTGTGTGGCCGCTGATCACTTKATATTACTGACTACTCTTTGAGATCATAGTTCATAGATCAACATGTATCTTAACTGTTTATCTATTTAGACCAATGAAAAGTCTTCTACTCTATCAAAACAACCACAAAATTCAGGTATGGAGTCTAYATTGACTTTTGTGACTATGCGCGTTTTTATGACGCAAAATTTCCTTTTACATACGATTATAACAAGTGGATCTCTTGTAATTGGTAAGTTCAATTATCTTTATTTCAAAATGTTAACATCCAAGATATGATGTACGTCACTTTTTATCGAGACAAAGAAACAATGCCATATATGAAACTTGTATGGTTCTATCTTAGATAGGGCTCCCTTATGCTGTCAGTGTAGAGAACTCTTTTGCTTTCTTTGGCCTTCGAGGACAGAAAAMAAGTAGTCAATTACCTCTTCTTCACTGTGACGGCCCTCTCTCTCGCAGAAATGACCATAATCGATCATTGAAATACTTTGACTAAGACGATGGCTCTAATTAATGGTTTCAGGGTTCAGGAGACTAGGTGTGTTCAGTGATGAAGTTGGAATGTTTACTTCAGTTACTGATAKCTGCAATTCTACATCTATCAAATGCAAGGTTTTTAACAGGTATWATAATACCAATATTTCGATAGTATTTGAACTGTTTTCTGAAGTCACTACAATATAACATATTCAAATCTATACAGTATCAACTAAACTGAGACAGCTCGCAGCTGAGACAGCTGAGATAGCTCGCAGTTTATCATATAATTATATCCATATTTCTTCCGCATTCAATTCAAAGCAAATCATTTCTTGAAGCATGAGAACRACAGACGGAATCATATTTCTTATAGCATTTCTTGTAATTTGCAGAGCAATATCATCACACGAAACACAACGCAGTCCCTCCATGGGCACGAGAAAACATCAATCATGAATTTACTTCAGCCCCTTTAAGTACTGAATTCAGTTACGAATCCAAGGCCAATAATCATCGCATAATAGGTGATGGTGAAACAGCTTACAATACACTTCACTTACCCAACGATGGAATATCCGTGACTCATTTGCAACAGACGCACGAGCCTCACCATCAATATAACAACGATTTCACAACTTCCAATATCAAKCCAAAYATTGCTGGTTTACAGGGYAACGGTGACTTCAATAACTGGTATGAACCCCAAGAACCCCGTGTGAGTGCCCCTACAGCGTCAGAGTTCGGATTGGCTGGTCATGACCATATCGCTCCATATTATGGGGTGACTGAAACTCCAGAGGAGTCAARTCATGTCATACATATGGGTCCCACGCCCTTTGGTCGTCATGGTGAAATTAGCCCACTTCATAACAACCTTCAATTGCAAGCTGAACAGCAGACCCATACAGTTGACCATGAGGTAGTCGAAAGTCCTTATGGCCCAGTAGCTATGCCACGATCAGAAGAACATATATGGCTTGCTCCACCAGGARAAACTCATRRTGGGMTAAATCTCCACTCACAAATAGGTCCACAATACGAATTTGGGCCAGGTACACCAAGAGTTCACTCGGGTTTGTACAATGTTGTACACAGTGGCCATGATGTCGGTATAAGACCTGTGCCACCAGTGGAAGAGTCTTATTTAGATCCAAATGAAGCACAACCTATTTATTCGGGATTAGAACCCCACATTAGACCACATCACGAGTAYGAATTCCACAAAAGTCCATTATATGAAGGAYCTCATCTACAACCAGTCAAGTTGCCCAACGAAGGCCCCTCTTACAGCGTTGGGCCCCACAAAGAGATCTATATTTGGCCATTTGGTATGCATAATGGGGTGCGCCACCTAACAAGTGTTGAACACCCAGTGGAAGAAACCCACTTTCCCGATGATCAAACCCCATTCAACCGAGTCTACAGTGGTGTACACTCTTTACAAACCAATGACGCACCTCTTCATATTAGTTCCAGTGGTGTTAACCGGGAAAMYTCGGTTGTACAGGGTACAGCAAAGGAACAAGTAGCGAAGTCCACYRCCCTCAACACAAATATCRAMGRAGCTCGCRWCTYTGGAMAGGCGAAAAATGCTGCGTTGAGTATGTATTAGSTGCATGTGTGAGAGRGTTGTGTTTTCAACATATCTATATACCAATTCCATTCTTKCATTTAATCCTATTCGTCCATCCTCCTTTCATTTACCCTTTCATAAATCTTCTTATCCATCTATTCACTTTTCCATTGCATTTTCAGAGTCGAGATATCACAAAAGGAAATTGAGGCTTCATTCACTCAGCGACGTCATACAACGAATAGCAGAGAAAATTCGTGAGTCAAAAGCGAGGCTGAAAAAACTACAACATTCATGAACACAAACCTGCTGATATACAGTAAATACTTAGCAGCAAACAAGAGATTCATCCCCATTTTCTTCCCCAAAAGTCCCCACCTGTGCACGAGGAGGAACGATATCTCCCGAAGTTTTCAAGACCACATTTGRCTTATATCAAAATAATATTCTTCCCAATACAGTTAGCCTAACAAGATCAAAATCTTTGCGTTAAGTTGAAGTAAAACGTAGAAATGACGCGATAAAAAAATGCAAGGTCTTGTAAGGATGGCTATGGAATTCAGTACTGATGCTACCAATGTGAATACGAATCATTTTTCGTTTGTTTACGTTGTTTTTGTTTCTTTCCAGTATATTAGTTTGGTGTTAATGTTTGTGTATTCTGCTTGTTTTGTGTGTTTATGTATTCTGTTTGTTTTTCATTTTGGTGTTAATTTTGTTGTTTTATATTTTTGTTTATCCTTTTGATGGAGAATACGGCCGGAAAATAACCGAAAAAAGCCGATAACCGGCATTGGTGCTGTGCGAAGGGATTATAGAGCTGGTCGGCTTTTCACTGTGAGAGAGCCTATYCAGGAAGTTATACAAATGTTTTCTTCTATAAACTGTTTATTTAGCATAGTAAATTTGTGATTACACCAGATATCACTGGCAGCGCTCGGGCACCATTGCTGTCTTCCGACAAAGACGGATTCCGCTTCGTTTTAAAATAACTATTTTGTGAAGTTTTATGGAATTGATGCCTTGAAATTCTCGAACAAGGACAGTTGAGATACATGCAATGTCACTGTTTTTACGCAACTTGCATTGGACCTTGCTTCTTGAAGTGTGCGCAAGTTATATCTCCATCAAGGTCAAAATGTTTATCTAAAGAAAGTTTGTAACCACTTTTGTACCGAAAACGTTTTTAAACCTAAAAGTATTTACTTTCTCTGTTTTTACTGGACGCTTGGTTTTGGTAATAAAAAAGCTCAGCCCAAGTGTTTGCATAAGAAAGACAAACAAGCTCAAAGATTGGTCATCTCCATGACAATGGATTGAATACCATGTTAATATCTTAATCGTGGTAAAGCTTGGCAAAGAATGACTACGAAATGAGAAGCTTTATGTTGAATAAGCAATAAATACAACACTAATCCTATCACTGTAGGATCTAGTGCCAAARTAAAATGTAAAACCAACATTGACGGGCTCCGTCCGACGAGCGTGAAGAATATAACRCTGATTGAAGCCTAAAAATGTGCTATTGGGGCTGTATTGAGAATAATATGGTACGTACATTTGCTTCTGTTGACGAATTTTTRTTTAAATATTYCGTGAGTATGGTAGTTTTTGATTTCAGAAGTTYAGTCGATGCGTCATTGTTTTCGGCTCACTATWWT